CCCCCCCCCCCCCCCCCCCCGGTCAATGGTAAACATCAATATCAAAATTTTTCATACTCTGTCAAAACCTCTTCTCAGGCAAAGCGTTTTTCTCCACACCTCTCTACGACCCCAATTGTTGTTACGCGACATTGTTGGCTGGCGCCTATCTGCTCTAACTATCTCGTAAAACTTTACAAGCGCCGCCACTGCTCGTTTTGGCTGGGGCGTTTCGACCGTTTTGCTAGACCCACTGGCCGTGGCGGTGCCTAGTTTGACTGCTCATATTCTTGTCAAAGATTCTTATAACGAAGTCCCCAGTAACTTCAGGTTATCCCTTGTTTGCTGGTCACCCGCCCTGCTTGCCGGTGGCTTATCCTCTCAAGGGTGAGGGAATCGGACCTTTAGTTTCGGAGTCACAGCTTTTGTGGCTTTCCTATACCTCCTTCTGGCGCTTCAAGCCCTTGTTCTGGGGTCGTTCTTGAGCCTCAGCAGCTGTTTTCATCTTTACAATCTCCTATATTGCTCTGGCTCATACTAGGCAACAGTCACTGCTATCCACTTCTATCAAGTTAGTGGAAAATTAAAAAAAAAAAAAAAAAAAAAAAAAATGGATAATATAAAAGATATATCATCGGCTCCGGCACCACCCCAAGTGGCCCATGAACTTCCTGAGGAGGATAAGCAAGTTCAGTCACCCACACAAGATCAGAAACGTGTGGAACAAGTGTCATCTCCAATTTCTGCAAATACATCGTTATTTGAAGTCCCTGCTCCTCCATCTGCTCCTGATAGAGACGACCCCAAGCTACCAAAGGAGGAGGAAGAGGAGGTGTTTCGCGCCTTGCAAAGCATATTCCAGAGTGTGGAAGAGGAAGACGGGAGCTTTGGCGTCAAAGGGTTGTTGAATTCTCTGGATGAAGTGGATGGAGAAGCTCGTTGCGGCCAAAGGAACCTCAATATTTTGAAGGGGGTGGTGGATAAACTTGGTCTTCTCTGGAGAAGCGGTTCTACTTACATGACTCGATCTGCTGAGGTGCTAGCGAATGGATGTCGAGACCGTATGTTTGTCAGCTGTTTAGCTTGCGGGTTAATATGAGTAATGATGCGCCATTTTGCTAATCCGGTGGATAACGGCAGCTTCGTGGCGGGTACCGTATGGTCAAAGTGGGATATTGGAATTCTTTCTTCGGATTATTGCGACAAATAACGTGGATGACGATATCTTGCTACATTCCTTGCGACTCATTGGAAACTCTTGTGCCGATACGAGTGCGTGATTTAGAGTGAATCATAGCTTCCCCAACCCTGTTTCCCTGACCTGACTCAAGAAACAAACAGATGAAAATAGGCAGCTGGTCGTCGAGAAGAATTACACACTTCCAATCATCAAACTATTCCGGAATCCCGCGGTGCTCCATGTTGCTATACCCGTGATATACAATATTTGTACTGATTTTGGTCAGTAGGGTGATTTACAGCCGCACTTACCCCTGAATCTCTTTACCAGCCTAACTTAGGTTCAATAGAACCTGCACAAGCTCAAGTGGCAGCAAATGGCATTGGATATAGCCTCCTTTCTCTCCTTTCCGAAAGCCTCATCGAAGAAAATGCTCTGTTGATTTATACGTTCGAACTCCTTGAAACAGCAACTGACCAATGTTAGTCAATCCGCTCATATTTCCCGTACTGAAGTAACCAAGAATCTGATAGCAGCAGCCCAAGGAGTTGCAAGGTCACCGGATGGCACTCTCCCATTGATCATCAATCTCGCATCGGATGAAGATATAGATTTTAACCGTTTTGTAAAC